GTTTCTCTGACATAAAAGAAAGAAGAAGAAGGGACGTTCTCAAATCAATATTTACAGTTGTGAATAAAGAAACGCAGCAAGTGGCTTTCCGTGTTCCATTCTTGCCTACTCCGCGTTTGGCTTCTCCTCCAAACCTTGCCTCTTCGAATGCTAGAGTTAGTGCTTTTATTTTTGGGGATATTTGTTTTGCGAGGAAACGCTGTCCATCTATTCCCGTGCACTTCGAAGTGTTCTTTCCCTATTGTTTATCGGTTAGCAAATTTTCGGTTGTCAAGATTAGTGTGGTATGCTTGCAGATAGACTGTGCCAATATCGAAACAAAGCGGAAAGCGTCGTCCCGACCAACGTCCCCGAAAGGCCTGCTCTTTCCATTACCGCGGCGGGTTCGTCAATTTGTTCATGTTGTATTTCCGTGATGCTGTTATCCTTATGATGCTGATTGTAGGTGCTGAATTCCTCTTCAGCCGATGAGGATCGAAGTGAACAATTCTCTGTCCTTAACAAGCCATCAAACGCGCGTGGTGCAGATTCGAGTTTAAGTTTGACTAATCGCGACGAAAGTTTTGAGCCGTCGAACGAAATGAAAGCAGCTATTTTAAATTCAACCTGTGATGAAGATATGGTGGGTTGCAGGAAACTTCATCAAGAGCCTTACTCACCACTCTTCCTGCTCTCTTTTTCTTTGTTTATTTGATTTGTTTTTTTCGCAGGAAGCTACTATTGGTCGACACCTTCGCCTCCGCCCATCCGTTGCCTTTATTCAAAAGCAAGGCATTGTTCGAGATAGAGTAAATATGTTCCGACAGCTTGGAAATTCGATGTCGGTACCTCTAGAGCCAGTCAGTGGGAGGGTTAGTTTTTTCGATGTGTTTACGTTCTTTATGTCCTCATTATGTTTTTCGGGTTTAGTGCGTGAATTCATGAAGGTTAAGCTATTGGAGGTAGAATAAGGTCACCTCAGCAGATTCTCACCTGCCCTTCCGTTACATCTTAGTGCTTTTGATTAGGCGTGTTTTTGTATTTCTAGTACACTGGTGCGCAAAACTTATAGACGAAAACTTTTGACTTCTGAGCATGCATAGAGGGAAGTTTACAGTGTGACTAATTCTTGCATGCTGCAAATCGTAAGTCCGCTGCCGCTGTACCTAACCAGTTTAACACCACCTGTTCTTCTGAAGCAGGCTCTTGTTCTTCCTGAGACCGTGTCCTATCCTTTCCCCGTCCTAGGGGAACAAAAAATCCCTTCACGTTTTCTGTCTTTCTGACAAATATCGCTCTGAGGGTGCACGTTTTTAACCCTTTGACGACCGTGTGGCCCGCCGGTGGGCCACACTTTCGCTCGGTGGCGACACGTTTTTAGGGTTTATTTTGGCATTTTTTATGTTTCAAAACTACACAAATACATTATCGAATTCGCGGAATAATGCGCTAATTACTAATAGTGAAATTGTTGGAGAGTTAATGATTATTGATGAAAAAATTTAGAAAGAAGTGAAGTGACGCATTCATAACGGCGGTCGTCAAAGGGTTAATGTGTATATGCGTACAAAAGTAAGCGTGTACGTAGTAAGGGATTTGCGTCGTCAAATCCAATAGATTCAAAGGATTCTTTCGTTCCCTTTGCCTGGGGGAAGGATGGGATACGGCCCTTGAAGAAGCTGTGTTTCGGAACGTTCTCCTTGCGCACGAAATATCGCAGTATACAACACAGCCTCTTCTGCTGCGCATGTCACACTTCGACCTCTCCAAGATTTCCGCTAATTCTTGGGCGTTCATTTGTATCCTGTCGGCCTTGTGACACCATCATATTGCACCGTTCACTGACTAGAGGAACAGCTCCAGATCGAACTGGTGGAGTTACAGCTGTCGACAATGAAATTATGGGTGCAACTGATTGAAAATGAAAAAAGAACCTAAGCAAGTAACCGATGAAGCCATTTACAAGTATCCCTCCCTTCCTGCTTGAAGAAGGGGCGGGGCGCGAGTTTTCTGCACTTGTGGCTTCAACAACTCGCTCGTATGTGAATCAACCGCTACGCTATAATTGACGCTGCGTATCATGGGTGTGCACGAGGTATCTCGTCTGTAAGCTCACTTTTTGAAAGAGAGCAACACAGCGCCATTTGTGCGTCACTTTCGAGTCGTGACAAAGACATGCCATTTGTGATGCTCGTGGGCTACTGTGTCCACCCCCACATAGGTTTTCGACCTGACCTCTGAAGTTTTCGCTTTACACGCTTGTCTTTTCTCATTTCATTAAGTGCCTCACTTTGCGCAACTCTCGCCATTCTGCGCATCTCTATCCAAGCTGCTTTGAAGTCTTGTGATCACCACCTTTCTGTGCACGATCGGAGACATTCGGCAACATGCTCTTACAACTTCATCCCTATTTAGTTCTTGATCAGTTACGAGATTTTATCTATCTCATTCTCAAGTTTTGCATACGCCAAGTGTCAATACCGTTCTAGTGCCCCACTAACTCATGTGACGAAGGGAGGGGCGGAAAAAAATGTTTTGCTTGGACGCGTGCAACAGAATCGTCCGACGGGATGGGGGTCGAATCGACTGTTTCGTGGGCGTCCGGGAGGTTAGCACGCGGCGCAGTCGGCGGGCTGCGCGGCGACCCGGACGAGGCAAGTCTTCGCGGGCTTCCTGTAGTGGAATTCAACGCGTCAGAACGTGTGCAGATCGCGGATAGAATCCACAAGATTCTGCTTTGGAAGAAACTTCCCAGTTGTGGAGATCGGTGAAATGCAGCGGTGCCAGTAAGAAGATTACAGCGAAAGAGATAAAGACTTCATAGAAATGTCACTATTATCATATTATAAATATGAATAAGAAACACTAAAATGGAGTCATTTGGTGAGATGTTGTTTATTGTCAACTCTATCGCGGCGCTCCTGTTCTTGGGGAGAACTTTCAAAACAGGGCCAGTGGGAGGTGACACTAGAACTAAGCTCAAGAGAAGGGAAATACGCTCGCGGAGACACAGAAATCCTCCACAAGAAACTCTTCCCCTCAGGCTTAGTCCCAAACACAATAACTTGGTTGAATCTCCGCTCATGGGATTCCCCCCCCCCCTTAACAACAAGCGCCAGCAACCTAAGCGCTCTGATTGCTATAACAGCGTTTTACTATTCCTTTTCTTCTCTTCCTCCTCTGGCTTTGAATATCCACGCGTAGATGTAACAACCGCCAGAAACTGTGTTTCTATCCGCGATCTGCCACATCGATGTGTAATTCCTACCGCAGCAGCCGCGAACCACATGGCCTGCGTCCCGCAATCGCGCGAGCCCGCGCGCGATTCCGCTCGGTGGCAACCCGGACGCACCAAAAATTCCCGTCACCCCCGGGAGTGGGCGCCGTCGCGCGCGGTCACTTGCGCGGCGCCGTTATGCGGCTTTTCAATGGGCGCGGCAATAATTGATTTTGTCGATTGGAGCAAGTAAATAGCTGCAGTACATTAATCAAGCAGACATTGAAGTCCATTTCGCTTGATGATATACCTTTTTCTTCCATAAAACTGCGTCAGATTCGCGGGAAAGCTCAGTTTAACATAAACCCTTAGAAAGAAGAGGGTTTCCAAAGTGCGTAAGCAGTTTCATTCCGCTCGGAATTCGTCCCTTCCGTCAGGCGATATATACTACTGTTTCACAACGAAAGGGTTCGAGAAAATTCCCGGACAAAAAAACTTTGTCAACCTAAGAAAGCGATTTTCTGGTCTGAATTCTGACTTTGCTGAGGTTTTTCTATGCAGTATAACCTCAGCGAAGTCAGACAGACCATTAAATCAGAATAAGCAGAGAACTGGAACAAAACAGTTCATTTCCGCGTTTATATGACAGAGGGAAGAGGAAAAAAGGTCTGTTGTCCACCGCCATCGCGGCGTCGCGGCCGCGACCATAAGCGCAGGTCTCCGGACGATTCTGTTGCTACACAGCCTGTTTTCCTCTATTCCCAACATTGACGTAGTCGCTCTTTGTTGGAACAACGGGTTCAACGGTCGACTAACTTCACAGTAGTCGTATGCACAAATTCTGCTCGGCGGACATGATGCGACGTTTGAACTCTTCCAGACCCTTCATTTCTCTACAACAATGCGTTGTTCTTGCCTATGGTCGGTGAGTGCAAAAGTGACACCAGGATTATAGGAGTTCAGTTTATGCGCTCTCACTCACCGCACGGCGGGCAATTGCGTGCTTGACATCCGCCATCTGCAAGATTGCGTGTTTTACTCCAGGAAGCACCAGTCCCATTCCTGGCCCCCATTGGTAATGGGGAGACATACAACAGCTGGCAGAGAACGCGGAGACCAGAGGACATCGCTGTGTACAACAGTTACAGGCTTCCAAAGGCTACCGTCCCAAGGGGAAGAACGCAAAGATGGTTGCAGAAGTTGAAAAGCCGAAATACAGAGAAGTCCGTCTTCAGAATAGGCCAAAGCTCGGCAAGGCTACCCAAGACATTAGGGTGGTGAAGAATGTGAAGAGCAGCGACGGCCCCATTCTGAGGAAGCCAGTCCATATCAACAGGAGATGGGTGTATTTCATAAAGCTTCTAAAAGCGAAGTTCCCCACAGGGGCAACCCGCTAGCAGAAACGACATCTGACCCCATCGCACTGTGGACAGAGGATGAGGTTCGACGTGCACTTGGGAAGATGAAGGTTGGAAAGGCAGTTGGTCCAGATGGAGTACCAATCAGAGGCATTGGAAGGCGCTTGGAGAGCACGGTATAAGGTGGCTCACCCGCTTTCCGAAGCCGCTAACTGCGAGAGGATATCGGATGCCTGGAGAATGAGTAATATCGTATTCTTCATACGGAAGGAAAACACATTAGAATGCTCCGTATACCGCAGGATCAAGCTGACTGCACTCACCATGGAACTGTACGGGCGACTGGTCGATTTGAAGCTGCGAGAGCTGGTCTCGATCTCCCAGGTACAGGTCTCGACTCCATGCCTGAAAGGTTTACAACAGATCCTCATCGCAAGACAAGTGATGGAGAAGCGTGGAACCACTTTCTGCTTTCCTCAAGCTAGAGGCTGCTTTCAACCGTCTTCCGCGGGAAGTACTATGGGGAGCGCTCAGAAAACGGAACATGTTAGATACCTAATCACTCTGGTGAAGGACATGTACGAAGGAGCCAGAGCAGCTACGCACGGCGTAACGAAATTCTCAGCTTGGGGTACACCAAAAGCCCTGAACCCGTTCCTCTTCCTCCTACCATTAGATTTCGTGGTGAAGGGACCAATGAAGGGACCACTGAAGACCATCCTCTACGCTGACGACATCGCCCTGATAGCTGATAGCAGAGAAGAACTTCAGGCCAAGGTGCAGAAATGGCAGGCTTAATCCAACGGGAGGGATATGGTTTAACGTGAAGAAGGCCAAGTTCCTGAGCTTTGAAAAGGTTCAGAGCCGATCGTGGTTTCAGGGTCGAAGTGGAGGATTGCTGATACATGGGAAGCGATCTGGAAAGTAAATCTAGTGAGTGCTAGACGGCGAAGGTTTGTATCAACGCTGCATGTATGAAAGCCCTGGAATCGTCGTATTCGAAGGTGTTCCGGAACGCTCAAGGTAAGGTGTACCGGACAGTAGGTAAGGCCTGCGATGCTACGGCAGCGAGTGCTGGCCCCTGAACAAGAATCACGAAAGGCAGCTTCACTCGCTGAAATGAGAATGCTGAGATGGGCTTGTAGCTGGACGCGACTGGACAGGATCATAAACGAGCACGATGGGCCCAGAGGAAGAGGTGGAGAGAGTAATCAAAAAGGATTCAGTGAGGTCAGACCCATGGCAGACAGGCAGTGCCTATAGGACCAAATGGCTTCGTCCAACGAGAACTGCCGACCCTGCGATTCCGTGGAATTAACGTGATGAATAAGAAGATGGAATGGGGCTCCGAAAACAGTGCTATGGTCTCT